TCTACGGCTTCGTCAGGTCCGGAGCACGGCTTCTTTTCCACGCTGCGATGCGCAATGAACAGGAACCACTCCCCTGCAAGAGGAACCCGCTTCTGAACCCTTTGTGCTGCAAACCGCATATGACCTTTGTGTTTTATTTATGTATATATATATATATATATATATTTCGTGCTATGTGTTCTTAATGTGTGTATTAGTATTAATATTGTTATTGATATTGTTACTATATTAGTATTAATATTGTTATTAGTATTACTATTATTATTATTATTATTATTATTATTATTATTATTATTATTATTAATATTATTATTATTAGTTTTAGTATTATTTTTATTGGGGGGAGGGTGGCTCAAACAAAGTCATGGTCATATCATGCTTAAAGTTGCACAGTGATCTTGGCCGCTTGGGAGTCAGGCGAGCGTCAGGAAAACCGGCTCGGGCATTGCAAGAGCCCAGGATCCAACCGGATCGAAATCCAGTGGTTGAGGGTGGTCTCACTGGCCAAAAAAACCCGGAAATAGAAGGTGATCACCTTTTGGGGCCTTTACTAAAAATGGACCAAAACTGGAAAACCAAAAGGTCAAAAGGTCGGCTTTGGGCAACTGAGTAGTTTGAGGGCCCAGGTACCCAAAAACCACAAAACAAAAGCCGGTTTTGTTAAACGCACCCCTTTCCCTTTCTGGCTGCTGTGCCATTTCGGGCCTTGCCTGTGGCCTAGCCCGCGTGTCTGTCTTAAAACAAGGAACCCCCCCAAACCCTGGCGGCGGCTTTCCCCTTCCGTTTCAGCGCGCCCCCTTGGCGACATGAAAAACCTAGCCCTTCACCTGCCCCATGAAAACTCCCAAGCAACCTGGGGAGGTTCTCATCTTTTGCAGACATATAGCCCATGTTACCCAAAAAGTTGAAAAGTTGTGCTTTTAAGAGGTAAGTTCATGTTGGGTTGCTTGGCTTCGTGTCAACTCGGATTCCCATTGGATTCCCGCAATTGAAGTATCATGGCGCAACTGCCCGCGCTTGGGGCGAAGGAAGAAGGCCAGCAACTTGGTTGCTGTTGACCCCCCTGCAAAAAGTTTCTAACTTTTTGCGGGGTTTAGTGGAAAACCCAACTTGATTTCAACCAAAAAGTTCAAGTCTAAAGATCCAATAGCAGTCAAGGCAAGGTCGTGCAGTTTGACACGCCTAGACGCATTCCAAATCGAGACCTTCCCGGACCTCGGGCTCCTGGCATCCTCCAAGTAGGCCGTCTTGCTCTGGAAGTCCATGCCTGGATCGATTCAGGCAAGCAAACATGGCCAAGCTACGATATGGCCACATGTGTTTTTGTTTTTGTTCCCGAGGTTGTTGGTTGTTGAAATGAATCCCTATATACAACAAGAGTCAGAATGCATAAACAGGTTCAACCAAAAACCACGGTGGTTACCGACTTTTTTCTGTAAGTCTATTTTAGTAGGGGAACCCTCCCAACCAAAAAAGGGGTAAAAGGGCCCTACTGGGGGACCTAGAAGTTATGATCGGCAACTCAACAGGAGAGTTGAATGGTAAACAGTATATCACACGAACTAGTGACTGGTGCCGGTCACTTGGTACCAAGGCTGTGAGAGTTCGTCACTTCAAGTCTGGGAAATCGGACGAGACTTTTTTTTCAACTGCCCCACCAGCCCTGCGATCCAAGCTGTGGATGGACGAAATCCATTTCGCACCACCTAAGACACCCTGGAAGGATGATTCCTTTGTAAATGCCAACAAAGAACGGTTTCCAATGGTTTCGATCTAGTGCGAACGGATTCCGCCCATCAACAGTATGATCCCGTCTCGCCTACTGTCGGCGCAGTTCCCTCTTCGAAGGTGTCGTACATGTAGCGTCGCACCAGCGATGTTTTGCCTCGCAAAAACCACGCGGTTGATCTCGGACCCGCCAAAAAGGCTGACGTGTTCATGTGGGGGTTGATCAAAAGGTCCTTTACAAAGGATGATAATTGGGAAAAACTGCGGAAAAGCTACATGGTCTTTTCTGGGCCAAGAATACTGGTCAACCCCCCATCCAAGTGGGGAAGGCGTACTATTTCCTGAAGGAATAATCGTTGGGTTCCCAACAAGCTACTCTCGGTTGCATTCTGCCCCCCTGCTAAAAGTTTAGCTTTTAGTGGTTTAATCGAAAACCCATTAGTTGGCAAAAGGCTAAAGCCCTAACATCCAAGCAACATGCACCAAAGTGTTACTTCTACTTGGGGGACAAGAGCCCTTTTACATCGAGCTGCCCAATGCCATGTAAAAGTCTCACTGAAGCCAAGACCTTTGCCGCTCGGAACCTTCGGCTTCTTGGATCTTCAACTCAAATGGCTATGGGTCAGAACCCCGGTTACCCCCAATGAACATCCTTAATCCAACCACTAAAATAGGTCATAAACTGGGTGGCGAATTCACCTACCAACCAAAATGAGTGGACCCTCAGCTGAAATCCTGAGCGGACAGCCCAAAAAACCTCCGTGCCACTATGGTTCACACCCAAAAGGTGACCCCCAAAAGTCCCAGAAACGGGACTTGGGAAGTGAGCTGCACTGGGTAGCGGCTGATCGGGTGCAACCAGCCTCCCTGTAGCTGAGGGCCGCGCCAGCGGCCTCATCTCCAAGTACAACCACCTCAAGCCAAGCCAACTTCAATGTCTTGCTAAACGAAAGGCTTTCTCCCGAAACCCAAGGGACATTGACCAGACATCGGCATTTTGAAACAGATTCCTGAAAGGCACTGGAAATCTTGGGCACTCTGGAATGGATTTGCCTTTTCTGAGTAGATTGGCCAGAAAAGGGTCTGGACTTTTGGTTTCCCACTAAAATGGTCCAAACCGAAAAAGTGTTAAGTCCAGGAACTCAGAAAATGAGTCTTACTCCTTCTCGCGCCTTGTATTTCTTCGGCGCTGCCCGACCTGCGCAAGGGCTTCAGGATCTTCCATTCCAGCAACCCCGGGAACTGATATGGCTGTGGGTCAAAACCCTGTACCCCTGGTAAACATCAAAATAGGTGGCAAAGGGATGTTCATCCACCTCAAAATGGAGCCATAGGTTATGCCCCATGGCCATATGCGGTATATGCTCGGAGTTGGACATTTGGGGTTTTGCTGGGTGTCCTTTTGGGAAAAAGGACGGTGGTAGGAAAGGAGCCGAACTGAAACCAGTGCCTGTCTTAAATCCGACCTAAAAGGACACCTGCTGCGGTATTTTGAAAGGGAAGGGCATGTGATACGCCATTGGAAGTCCATTTCACGTCTGAGGCCCATGACCCAGCCCTTCTTGGGATAAAACCACCTGAAGATTGCGGCACATTCGTCCCGGGAATGGTCCGTTGGATCCGTATTCACTTGCTGGTGCTCAGTAAAGAATGAGGGAACGAACCTGGGGATTCCCTTAAAGGAAACCACAATAGGGATGATTTATGGGGGTAATTCCCTCATTCCCTGCGGAGCACCAGCAAATTTCACGGTTTCCAAAACTTTCGGCACCAAAACCGTGTCCAAACGAAGGGCCATTGACGAGCCTGCACTCATCAGCGTCCATGCCGTTTCAGAACCTCACCGTGATGCGAACCCGAGCGAGAAATCGAATCCGGAGCGAACCCAACGGAATCCAAGTTGGCCATAACTTCAAACACATGGTGTTCTGGCACACCCGCCATTTTCAGAGGTTCACATCATACCAAACAAAAAAAAGGAAGGCCGGATATCTGGCGTCGCTCCCTCGAGTGGATTGGCACCAGTCCCAACTTTTTGCTTGCCGCCACGGTCTTCCAACACAACCAAGTCCAACTGAGTGACTATGTCTTCCAGTAGAGAGGTTAGAATAAGAGTACCATTTTTCTGTAGTCTACTTTAGTAGGGGAACCCTTCCCCAAAAAGAAACGGTAAATGGGACCTAGCTGGGGGCACCTAGGTGTGGTAGAGGCCCCCAACGCCGTGGTTTTGGTTCAACTCACCGCGCCTGTGTGGCATGGCGAGGCGTGTCTTGAGCCAAGAGCCGTCGATCCGAGCAAAACACTTCTGGGTGAATTATGATGTATGGTCGAAATCCATTTCGCACCACCCAAGAAACCCTGGAACTATGTTTTGTTCTGTAAATAGCACCGAACAATGGTTTCCCATGGTTTCCAAGTGGTGCAGGATTTCGTCCATCCACAGTATTTCACCAGCCTGAAATAAGGTGGTTCGGGGGCTATTCCCCACACAAACCACCATTTGAGGTGAGGTCGTGTGAGGTCGTTATAATTCACCCAGACACTTTCCGCCAAAATTGCACCCAGTTGGTTTTTGTTTTGCCTGAGTCTCATGCAACCCAGCATGCGACCTGCAGAAAATGGGCTTTTGGGGTCTGTACGTTCATGCCTTTCGGCGTCTTTTGGGAGAGTCCCGCACCTTTTGTGCGGAAGTTGATGGGAACCCAACCCTGGTTGATTGATCGGGGTGCCCGTTCATTGGGAGAAGCTTCCTCAAGCGGGTGAATGAATAGTTCAAGTCGCCAGTTCTACCCCCGCCATCTCTCAAAATCAACCAGTCTGTCCAACCCTTGGTATGGTCGAGAATCCTGCGAAACGAGCTGTCTGTCTTTTGCAGCCCAAAATGAGTACAGCACCACCCTCCCGGGACAATGCACACCCCGTCCTATGGAGAACCCATAGCGACCCAGTCTTTTTCGGGGCCCAAAATTGGATCACCAGTTTCGAAGGCCCAAAGTCCATGGGGACCGTCGACCCTTTGGTGCTTGGGGTTGTTCAACCGAAAGACAATCGAGACACTTGAAACCATCGAGAGGCCAAAGACCATCCAGCCCAAGGCCAACAAAAAAACGCTCGAGACCCACAAATTAGGTAACAAGCCAGCCCAAGGCCCAGAGGATCGCAACCGGCCCAAAAACCATCGAGACCCAAGAACGTTTTGGGGTCCCGAGGCGAAGAAACCGAAAGACCCAACGGACGAGAGCACAGACCCAACGGACGGTTCCATTCGCCGCCTTCTGGGGCCGGACCAGCGCCGAGCTCCAGCTACCGCGATGGGCGTCCAGATCTAGCAGGCCTGCGGGCGCTCGAACCACCCCGGCCTCAACCAAAAAAAATCGGCAGCCCCACCCGGAGAACAAAAAACAGCCCTCCCGAAGGGTCTCCGCCCCTCACAAAAAAAAGAAAAAAGAAAACAACGCCCTCCCTAAGGGTCTCGATTGTTTTTGGTCCCGACTGGTTTCAAGGGCCCCTGAGGAATTGGTCAGGAGTTCTCCATTGGAGGACCCGGGAAGTCTGCATTGGAGGGGTCATGACCCTTAGGGCTGGATGGTTGCGAAATCCCTTCACACGTAAGAAACCATGGTTGAAACCAGAGCGTTTGCTGCTTCTTCTTCTTCTTCTTCTTCTTCTTCTTCTTTTTTTTGTTGTTCTTCTTCTTCTTTTCTTACGAGGGAGTCATTCCACACTTCAACTCTCCAAAAAATTGGCATCCAAAAAATCCCTGGACGGACAAAAACACGGCTTGGAAATGGAATTAAGCACGGCTTCTGGGGGTGTTGAATCGGATTCTGCTTCTGGGGGTGTTGAATCGGATTCCATAGGAAACCATGCTTCACTTCAGTCGGAACTTTTTTGAAAGGTTGTTCAAGAGAACCCTGACCCATAGAACTGCGACGACACCAATTTTGGTATCATATAGGACAAACGGAGCCAACCAAAATTGGGGTGTTGTTGTTTTCCTCCTGTTGGACGAAATCAATTAGCCCCACGTAACAAAACCATGGCTGAAACCATTGTTTGTTGTCATCTACAGGGGAATCATTCCAGGATTTCTTCCGTGGTGCAGGATTTCATGCATACACAGTATGGGGCTGCACAAACAAAGAAGCATACTGCGGATGGACCAAATCCATTTTGTAGCAAACTGGTGAAGCCCATAATTCATGTCCTGCAATTGGTGATAAATAGCTTCCCCTGGGTTGGGGGACCCTCGAAAACACAACTGTTTGCAGGTCAGAAAGAATGGCAAACTGTCAACATATTTCATCATGCAACCAACAACTGTACACATGTGAGCAGCGACCAAAACCCATTGAACTTGGATTCTACTAAGATGGACATCAAGGATAATGGAGGACAGCACTCTCACCCTTGCTGTGAAATTATTTGCTTGTGGAGCAAGGCTCAAGCCATGCAAGTCACGCCATAGTTTCCTTGTCCTTCTGGTGTGCACATATAAGCCTTAAACAAAGCGGTTGATGACCGTCGACAAGCCCAGCCAGCTTGACATTATCGCGATTCGATGCTTTCTCACGTTAAAAAGGCGACGCAAATCACTGGTATCACAGAAAGGTCTAGGAACAACTTCCCATTGTTGCCAGGGACCCGATGTGTGTTTTCCTTCCAGACGACCCAAAAAAAAAGCGGAGTGGGGAATCAATCCCGTTTTTTGAACAACGATGGTTGAAAGGAATGGAACAGGAATCAACTATCTCAGAATGGGGGTGTCAACAATAAATCACTCACCCCAAACCAATGGATTGTCTCCAGTGAAACCGCTCTAAATGAGATATCGTCATCGGATCCGGCCATAGGCCCATTTGGACACAATCCAGACAAGGCACCATTGTTATGTGGATTGATCCCAGTCTTCACGGGGCTGTTTCTCAAAATGTCGAACCCTCGGTTGCTAGCTAAAATTCAAGGACCACCGAAACCTGTATTTTACGAAACACCCATAAGGCTTTCAGCCATGCTAACTGATAAGCGAATGTTGTCCACTTGAGGGTTTCTGAAGCGGGCATGCAACATAAAGCCATGCTTTGGTATGGGAAACTGGGTTTGTCTCAAAATAGGAGAGCCCCTGAAACCGGTGGTTCAGTTTGGTGTCCCTTTCACGCTCTCCCAAAAGGGTATGCAGTAGCGTGAGGAACCTAGCCAAAACGGGATTTGAAGGGTGAAATCCTCAAGCAAAAGCTTGAAACCGTTCTTGAATCCCAACCCGCAGCTCCTGTATTTCAGCTAGATGTGAAGCTTTCAAAAACAATCCACCCTAAGACATGGGAACGTTTCAAAATAATGAGGGAGCCCCTCAAAATAATGAGGGAGTCTCATTAAACAAAAAAAGCTGACATATGTTGCGCCATCCAAGGGGCCAGGCCCAAATATGTTTTGGACACGCCAAAAACTGGGGAAGTGGAACGGATTGTGCGACTTGAACAAACGCTCCCCACTACCCGCTACTCCAAAATTCCCTCGTTTTCATGGGTATATGTCTGAACAAACACACACACACATTCCACAGTGAATCCCACGTTCTAGTAAGGGGTTGGCATGACGTGCCTCTTTTTGTTCTCTAAACAAAGGTATTGACGGGGTGAATGCTCGCAGCTGCCCCCGCCTCCTTTGTGCGGACTGCCCGTGACATTCTCCGCCTGCTCAGCCTCCTCCAGTTTGTACCTCTCGAACTCTCGACAGGAGCCTTCCCATCGATCCAGTCTATCCGGAGGCAACCAAAGGGGCAGCCGAAGGCTTGATTGGTCTATGTCGGGGGGCCTAAAACTGGTATTGTTGTTTTTGGTTGCCCTTTCATCCAAGGTGACAAGGGTAATGACCTGCAAAAATAAAGTTGGAAACCATAGAGGCCCAATTACAACAAACGACATTCGAACTTTTCTCAGCGGAACCCCAAGCGAATCTCCCCACGGCCGGTAGGGTTAAACCCCGAGTCTCGCAGGGTAAGGATTGACTCTTTGACCTGTCCGCCTCTGGTGAGTTGGATTGGTTCGCTGCTGTGTCGCTCTTTCCCCCTGGGCAAACGGTCGATCACCCTTTGTAGTTTTGATGGAAAAGCCGTTAAATGTCCAAAGGTCTAAGGGGGCTAAGGTCACGTCAAAAACCAGCCATTGTCAGAGGGCGGGTTCAATCAGGTGTCAAATAACCCTACCACAAATCCAAACCACAAATGGAGGGAACACAAGCAGTTCAGGGCAACCTGATCCACCAACATGATGAAGACATGTGCCAATGAAACAGTTGCGGCAGGTTTACTCACAGTTTGAACAACATGACGAGTGGGAACTCCTTCAAGAAACCGTCACAGGCGCACAAGAGATCATGGATGTCCTTCTCGTTGAAGACCATACCTTGACCTCAGTTTCTCTCCTGCCCGCAAAAGTCCCCCCAACAAAAACTGCTGGCCACTAAAAAGGGTCTTCCCAAAAACTTCAACGTTCAGGAACTCGGCAAGTGAGGGAGTGGTTGGACCGCTGTTGAGGCTCTTCACACGGCACGAAGATGCCAATGCCGAGGTTTCAGACCTGAAAGCCTCCAAGGCCAAAAGCAGGAAGCCCGAAGCCTGCTCCCCGGCGCGTTTCTGGAAATCGGTTGTCGGTTGTGATGGCCATAGCTGGATTTTTGGAGAATAGATGGGTGTCCCTGGCAAATGGAATAAAACCCCCATCTACACCAGGCCAACCTAAAAAGGACATCTATGTTCATGGCTCGGATCAACAAGCTGCAAGCAAATGTCTACCATGAAGGGGTAATCGCAACAAAGATCCATTTCCAGGCATCCTTCTTGCCCTGATTTGTGCAAAGAACGATTGGGATTCAACCCCTAGAACTGTTTAGGGCCAGCGGGCCATCGCTAACAACCCGCAAAAGGATGTTCTGACATTCAAAAGCAGCCTGGCTTTGGGATGACCCACTGTCTGCAAATCTGAAGCACCTGATCTGCTATCTTCTGTTGTTTTTGTTTTTTCTTCGGGGGGGAGGGGGGGGGGGGGGGGGGGGGGGATTCTAAAGGAACCCTCCTTTAGTTGGTTTTCTACATGGAAATAAAAAGTCACATACACAGACACAGACACACACAACACCGTTGCGCCCATTGTTTGGGTGTGTCGCCTCAAAAAAAAGAAGTCGCCACCTCCCAACCTGTCAGTTTCCCTCCTCAAAACCAGCCCGTGCCGGTCCTGAAGGAGTCAAGAGTTCACCGTCAACTGATTGCCCCGGATGGATGCCCCACCAAAAAAAATCGCCAAGAAAAGCAACCACACACCACAAAATCATGGGGGCGGCTCGTCTTTTTTTGGAGTTAGTACCCCGCCTTAGAGACGAAAAACAAAACCGCTGAGACATTTTGGCCCCCTCACAAACAGACTCCGCCCATAGAAACTCCAATGATTGTGGGACCTTCCGTGTTCCCAACGCAATATTTACGGTATCCGGAGCAACCGGCGAAATCAGAGAGCCGGGGCACCGGCCCTCGTACCAGCTGGGAAACGTACATTTTCAAGAAGCCGCCAGACCTCTTATCCTGCTTCAAGACCTGGTTTTTCCAAACCTGCCTGGATTTGGTTGAACAGAAAACCCCAACACACACAAACAAACAGACACACACACAAACAAACACACACACACACAAACAAACACACAAACACACACACAAACAAACACACAAACACACACACACACACAAACAAACACACAAACAAACACACACACACACACACACACACACACACACACACACAAACACACACACACAAACAAACACACAAACTAACACACAAACAAACAAACACACACAAACAAACAAACACACACAAACAAACAAACACACACAAACAAACAAACAAACAAACACACACAAACAAACAAACACACACAAACAACCACACACACACACAAAACACACACACACAAATAGACACAAACACACACAAACACACACACAAACACACACACACACACACACAAACACACACACACACACACAAACACACACACACACACACAAAAAAACAAACACAAACAAACACACAAACAAACACACACACACACACAAACATACACAAACAAACAAACACACACAAACAAACAAACACACACAAACAAACACACACACACACACAAAACACACACACACACAAATAGACACAAACACACAAACACAAACACACACACACAAACACACACAAACACACACAAACACACACAAACACACACACACACACAAACACACACACACACACACAAACACACACACACACAAACACACACACAAACACACACACACACACAACACACACACACACACACACACACCACACACACAAACACACACACACACAAACACACACACACACAAACACACACACACACAAACACACACACACACAAACACACACACACACACACACACACACAAACACACACACACACACACACACACACACACACACACACACACACACACACACACACACACACACACACACACACGCACGCACGCACACGCACGCACACGCACACCCACCCACCACACGCACACACACACACGCACACGCACACGCACACGCACGCGCGCGCACGCCGCACGCGCACACGCGCACGCACGCGCCGCGCGCGCGCACGCACGCCCGCCCGCACGCGCACGCGCACGCGCACGCGCACGCACGCGCACACGCGCGCACGCGCGCGCGCACGCGCCGCACGCACGCACGCACGCACGCGCGCGCGCGCGCACACGCGCACACGCAGGCGCACACGCAGGCGCACACGCACACCCACACTCACACACAACCACCACACAAACAAATCCGCCCTAAAAGCACCAGGCTAATCACAAACCAAAAATTCCCCTCCCCCCTCGCGGGCCCCCTTGGCCTGGCCTTCGCCCAAAATTCCCCCACCAACCCATCCCACTCGACTTTCCCTCCGTCCGGGCTTTCCAGCAGCTGGGCAGCGCCGCCACCCGCAAGCGTCGGCCCGGGGGCTTGGCCTCAAGCTTAGAACTCAAAGCGAAAATCGCGGGTGAAGTGGACGCCCGCAAACCCTGAAAACCTACAAACCTAAGGAGCCAGAAACTGGGTCCTCCAGTAGAGAGGATAGAATAAGTTGGTACCCTATTTTTGTTCTGTAGTCTATCTTAGTAGGGGAAACCTCCCCCCAAAAAAAGAGGGGAGAGAAGGGCACGATCCGGGGGGACCTAGCCACAGGAAACGCTTTGGATCCACAGCGAATCGGTGGATCCACCTCTGGATATGAAAAGAGTATACTGAAACGTCTTGGCTGTTGGCATCATCGGAAAAACCACGAAAATGGGCTGGCTTCTTTGGAGTTGGTACCCCGTGTTTGGATTAGTTTAACGGGAAACCAAAAGGAAACCATAGGAAAACTCAACCAACATGGGCGGCTCTTTTGGGGGGAAACCCCTTTTTGGTGGGCTTCAAGGGAAGCCGAAGGGCAAAAAACAAAGCCATTTTTGGCGGGGTCCCCGACACCCCAATGGCCCATTGGGGTTCCTTTTGTCATTTTTACACGGTGTTGTGAACGGGTGTCCTTTACACGCCTGTCAGGGAAGTTTCGACATGGTGTCCTTGGGAATCCGGTTCATTTCCAAAAGCTGGGATTAGTTCCATTTCCTTGCTTCTTTTTTCGGAAACGAACGGAGGTCGTGAAAGGGTGAGTTCCTAACTTGCGCGAGGCCTGCGATTCCACTTCCCAGGCTGACCTTAAATTAAGCCTAGGCTGGAATTAGCCCCAGCAAAACAATCTTTTTTGCTGGTTAGTGGAAAACAAAGGAACCCCAAAAAAGCAAAAAAGCAAAAAGGGGAGCTAATTCTGGGGGAGAAGCAACCAGTCCACTTCAAGAAGCACATGGGAAACCACCCGAAGCCCGTGATATGGTTCACCCATCTCCCTTGGCAGAAAACGTGGCCCATTTGCCTCGTCCTTCAGCAGCTCGAAACCGTTCCGCCGAAAAACCTCAGCGAGAGATGTGCTTTCAGTCGGTGTCTGATTTCCATACTGTGGATGGACGAACTTCTGCACCAAAGCAACCCTGGTTTCTGATGAATCCCCTGCAAATACCAACGCACAATGGTTTTTCATGGTTTCAAAGTGGTGCGAACGGATTTCGTCCATCCACAGTAGGTGTCGCTTTGAAGCAGGGTTTCCGAGTCCTGTTTCAGGCCTTTCTTGCGGCCTCCCTTCAAACAACTCCAGAAAGGCCATACAAGTCCCCCTTTTTGGCTGGGTGCCCGTTGAAAAAGCGCAAAGATAACTTAAGACAAGTTGGAACCCTTGCAAGCAACCCTCCCTTTGACAACAGGCTATTCCCATCCTTCTCCCTTTCTGAGTTGTTCATGGTTTTCTGAAGACTAAGTGCGCCATTTTGGGTCTCACCGTACTTCTCGGGTGTTTTCGGTAGGTACCCTCGGCTTGAACCCTTGCAACCTTGCGGGCCCCGTACAGAATCCGGATTCTCACAGATGGGAATCGGACGGGCCAGGGGCACCCTATTCAAGGCGCGAAGGAGCTACAACCCGTTCCAGCCTGCACCGGCCCGGTGCCACGTGTGCGAGAAGCTGCTTCTTTGAAAACGGAGGCTCTCTGCTGCCCCGCAAATTCACCATGGAATCCAACAAGGGTGTCTCCAAAAGGGGATTTCCCTCCAATAGATTGGCATTAGAGTTGATGAAAATATCAACTATGAACTGGTTCTTGGCTCTAGACTTTTCCCAGACCCAGTCCTGTGGCTGAAAACTGGACAGTGCTTCCCTCCACTCGCACTTGATTGGTGACAAGAAACTTTCGTTTCACATGGGACTTTTGTAGGGACACTGCCGCCTAGGTGACAAAAGAGGTCCCCACCTCGAGGTGTGCTTCAGCCAGCTGCTCCTGCCGTGCCGAAGATAGATTTTCCGGCATGGGCGGAGAAAAAACGCATATTTTTTTCCGGGTCCAAAACCAAGGTGGGGTTCCATGGCCACCTCATCGTTGCGTCCACCCACCGAAAACCCATCCTTAGCCCGCGAGCCCACTTTAAACCAGCCCAAGCCAACCTAAACGCTCCCTTGCTCACCACACACCCTAAGCGCACCCTCAAACCACCCTTGTTTTGAACCAACCTTGTGCTGAACCAAGGTTGCAACCTTAAGCCAACCCTGAACAAACCCTACGTACAGCAACCTCCCTAAGTCAACGCTAACCTAACCCTAGACACCAAACCGACCCGACAACCAACCAGAAACAACCCTAAGCCGACCCCAATCAAACCTGAGCCCAAACCAATCCTAAGCACACCCTCAACCAACCCCAAGCCGATTCCAACCTTAAACCACCGGCAATAGATAGCTAGGGGTTGCAGCTAGTGTGCAAATAGGGGTGTTGCTGGTCATGGCGCGCTACTGAATGGTTGACCAAGTTTCTGTAATTCGGGCAGACCCAACTTGACAAAGTTTCTGTAATTTAGAAATAATGTGCGGCTGTGGTCAGCGGCCAACGCCGCCTTGTTTGTTTCCTCCAAGCCTTCGCTGGTCCGCTTCATGGACCTCCAAGGTGGGCTATAGATAAGCCTAGGATTTAGATAGGCCCCCTCCCAGTTTGCAGCTAGACTAAAGTGAGCTCTTCAGGTTGCAGGGTCATCACCAGACCAAGCAGGTCCCCTAACATAGCCAATGGTTTTGGCCGTGGCTTTTTCTTTTTCTACATGTCACAGTTAAAATTCCCCAAAGATCCCAAACCATCGCCGAGAGAAGTCGACGGAGTCCTCAAGCAGTTCGCGCGTTCCATCCCAAACATTTTCTGACCTGATGAGTCTCACGTTGGGAGCCCAAGGCTCGTCTTCACCATGAACCTTTTCAAGGTCAGCTTTGGGACATGTTTCTACTAGGCTTAGAGTTAGCTCGCGCAATCAAGTAAAACAAAGGGTAGCTTGCATTGCATGGCACGACCCTCGATGTTTAGCATTGAAGCACCCTAGAATCTGTTATTTGAGGAACAACTCATACGGTAGATACCTCCTTTTTCTAGTGAGCCTCTCATCGGGTATCACATCATTAAAAACACGTGGTGCTACGAGGGCTCCGAGGTGATCCTCAAAAACCAGCTTGACGTGCTTGCCTTGAAAGGGGCGAGCTTGAAGCTTGGAAAATAGGGATCACAGAAAGCAAAGCGACAAGTTGGGAGTATTTTTGGAGGGCTCCCTTCTTAGGGTGGCTTTAAAGGGAAGCCAAAAGGCAATCTCCTCCATTTTGGGTGGGCTTCGAATCCGGAAACAGACACACCCATGTGACACATGTGTGTTCAACCTTAGGCTTAGCTTTAAAGGGAAACCATGCGTAGTCAAACAGGGATCCTTAGATTATGCCACCTGAACATTGCCTTATGGCGGTGTCCCTTCATTTTGGCGTTGAAAAAGCCACATGTTTCAAATGGTTGAGCAAAATGTAGATCTTTTAAGGAGCCCGGTCAAAACAAAAAGCGGCACTTCTCCGTTCCGCCTGCGCGGGCGCCAGCTGCAGCGGGTGCGGGTTCACCAAGGGCTGCCGCTCAATGCGGCTTTCCCGGTTCAAGGCCTCGCTTCGGAGCTCGGAGTTTCTCGACGTTGACCGTCGGAAGGGGAGCGAAAAATTAAGTCAGCAGTTCAGTGGTGGGATTTCCACCAAACCACAATAAGCAAAAATTGGCTAAGACATATTTTTCCAATTTGGGCAGTTTTTTGTGGATTTGGATTTGTTTTTACCAAACCGCAATAAGCAAACATGCAACATGTGTCCCAACAACCATGGTTTGCAGCAAAAGGTGTAGAAAATACAGGTGTGTACTTTTTGGAGAACACCCCCCCCAACAAAAAAACATACATGCCAGCACCCTCCCAAGGGTGGTCCATTTGTACCTGAAGTGCCCTTGAGCCATTTTGGGTACCAAGTGACACCCCTTCAAGGGTGCCTGGTGTCTGTGGTTTTTAGGGGGGACTCCCCAAAAAAGGTTGGTTTCCTTTTGGCTTCCACCTTACAAGCAGTCCAACAGGGGTACCCTCAACAAAAGAAACACCCGTAGATGTTGCCGATCAAGCGACCCTGATGTTGGTTGGTCGAACCGCTTTTTGCCATCCCTTTTCCTGGGGGACACTTGTAAGCAGTCCATACATGTGTCAAAGGGGAGAAGCCTCGTGGGTTTCCTAAACATCCTGCTAAAAATTGGTGACCGATTTGTGCAGGTGGTTTCCTTTTGGTTTCCCTAGATCCAAAAGGCCAAACGGGGCCCGATTCTCATTTTGAGGAACGCTCATATCCCAAACGGACATCGAAACTAATGCAAGGAGTACCGGGTGCATGCCAGAAAGCTCCAGTTTTTATGAGCCATTTCTTGGGAAATGCCCGTAGCTAGGATGGTAGGTTGGAGGTGCGGATCTGCCACAAAGGCGCCATTTGCACAAGTCATGGCGTTGTGTGCCCGACTGATTTTCAACCTGCGTTGACACCCACACATATTTATGGCAAGGGGTCTGCTCCCCACAAGACTAAACTTCCCAAAATTTCGCTCGTTGGGGTGGCTTGTTCGCTCGTTGGAACCTTGAGAAACTTCCATTGAGCCAATTTCTGACTCCAAATGAACCAGACATTGCCATGTGAGCCACGGTCCAAACATGCCTTCATCCTAAAAAGCACCTGGGACAATTTGTGTGTTCCCTGATTTGCAGAAGAACAAAAAACTAAAAACATCCGCGCATGGGACAATTTGTGTGTCCCCCTGATTTGCAAAAAAAAAAGAGGCTCATGGCAGGCTCATGGCGCTTGCAGGACCTCACGTGGCTGTACGCGTGCGCGCTTCAGAAATTCAGGCACCAGTCATGCAGATCCTCTGAGCTGCCCTACCAACAGGAAGCTCCTCAAAAGAAACATCCCATACTCCAAACACCCGCTCCCTCTTCTGTGTAGCCCATGTCTTCCACAGTACCTCCTTTAGCCAGACAACTCAAGCCGCTATTTTCCGGAGTGCGCCAACCCAAAGTCGGGGCACCCCAAACGACTGTTTCTCAGTCGCCCAAAGGACCCAAAAATAAAAGTCTAACCTTTTGGTGCCATCACTAAGAATGGACCCAATTAGGGAAGCCAAAAGGTTAAAAGGTCGGCTTTGGACACAATTTGTTCCTTTCCACTCCTAGGTCCTCCAGTACTGGAGCTTAGAATAAGGGTACCATATGTTTTTCTGTATAGTCTATTTTAGTAGGGGGGTTCCATCCCTCAAAAAAAGAAAGGGCTTAAAAAGGGCACCTAGCTGCGGGACCCAGACTCGAAGAGACGACAAAGCACCCCACGCCGGACGCCTCGAAGCGGAACTTCTCATCCGAGGCGTGCTGGTCCACGATGAAGAGCTGCAGGTCTCGCCAGGAGAAAACCGAAGAACCCCGCGGCGAGTGAAAAGAAAGACGAAACACAGCCAAAAAACGCCAGATTGCTCGAAAAATGTGTGGGTTTTCCCCTAAATGGTTGGCTTCCTTTTGGCTTCGATTTGGCTTCAACTTTGGCCCACTTGGCACTGGGGGTCGGTCCGTGTTGAGAATCATCCCCCTAGACTTTCCAAGATCAGAAAATGGATATCGTTCGCACCCATTTGGAAGATCAAGGGAAAAATCAAAAGGACATCAACAATTCTTGGGGACCGCGATTTTGAGGAACCACGATCTTGAGAATTCAAGTCTGGGGGCCCAATAAATCGGGTGGCCCCAAACCAATTTCGAGAACTCCTCGCTCGAAACCCCGTTGGATTCATCCACAGCCCGAGCCGAAGAGCCGAAGAGCCGCATGCCTGGGGAGCTGCCGACCTGGCCCCGGGTTTGCTTCGGCTGGGTGAAATCAGCTCAGGGAGTTGTTGTTCTTCCTCTTCCTTTTTTTTTGGGGGGGGGAGTTGAAGGGGGGGGTTAGGAACCAAGAAAAACAACACAGTGCACGCGCAATTAAAAAAACAAAAGCGGCTACTCTTGGAGCATGGTATGGTCTGGGAAGTTTGCCTAAACATCATTCCTTGGCGGATCACTATGAAGCCCCTTCAAAACGGATTTCAGGGATGGGACGTGGTTTCTTGGTGGTCCGGACCACGTAGAATACCCCTTTGCCATTCCATCAGCGGAAGCTTCCATAGGATCCTACCACAAGTTGAAGGCCCAAAGACAGCAATTGAGTCGCAATCAAAAAACCTGGTACTAAAATGGTCTACCCAGAACCATGTACAGGATTAAGAAGGCGGAGATCTGCAGCTATTTATGGTTGGGATCGCCCCTAACCTTCATCTACCCGAATCGGTTTTGAGCACGTGGCTCAATTCAACTTTCCTATAGCTTCTCTCCGGATCGGTTTGGGGCTCGCTTCCCATTTACCCCCATCCAAACCTAAGGTAACCAGAAAAATGAGGCCCTTTCGGGCTTCTCCATTGGCGGCGGCTTGAACTGGTTCAACTAACAAGTCGTAAAGGTGCTGGTCAAAAAAAAAGGACCCGAAAGCACAAATGGTGAGTGTCCTGGTGATTTCTCCTAAGCTGAAAAGGCTATTCAAAACACAAGAGCTTTTCAACCCCGGACACAGACAAGCTCGGAACCTGCAGCGCGGCGATGATGAAGCCCAAGTTGAACCTGAAATCGGGCGAATGTTGACACGAATGGGGAGCGCAATGAATTGGTGCTCCCGTAGTTCCGCAACGCAAGGGCGCTTCATAGGACACCCAAAAAACAATCCATAAACAAGCCAGAACCAAAGCCTGTAACTAGTGCAGCCTGACATCCATGTTTTGCTAGTTAGTGGACACATGGTCATTGTTCGAATTGGAAAAAGGGTGGTTTTTGGGTCACACCAAGCAGCGACCAAGTAAAGAACCGTAGGTGGAATCCGTAAATCCTCCGGTTCCTTGCAGGGTACCACGATGTTGGGGCTCCCCTGATTTTTGTTGTTGTTGTTGTTGTTGTTGTTTAATAATAATAATAATAATAATAATAATAATAATAATAATAATAATAATAATAATAATAATAATAGAAATATTAATAATAACAATAATAATAATAATAATAATAATAATAATAATAATAATAATAATAACTGTATAGATGTGTCTTCTTAGGGGGATACTCTCTTTTGGCAGGTTTTAAAGGAAAACCCCTTAAGGAAAACCATGATGTTGGGATTCCCTCCACGAAAGGACACCCTCCAAGGTTGCCGGGGTCTACGGTTTGTCTCCCATCCTCCCGTTCCCTTGGGCCACCGGCTGGCCAATGACCCTCATCTGGGAGAAGCAGCTCTTGTCGAACCTGGACCCACAGAGGTCACGAAATCCTCTTAGGCACCATCGAAACCCTGGTGTCTGATGCCCCCCCTGCAAAAACCAACAAACAATTGGTGTCTCATGGTGCCAAAGTGGTGCGAACGCACATTTCGTCCATCCACAGTAGCTCGATCCATGTCGCATGTCTGTCTTGGGGGAAATCCAGGTTGGGAGAGGGGCGAGTGCATGAGACCAAAGAAAAGAGGGGCGGGTTAAATAGATTTGCTCAGAACAAGAAACCCGAAGTCTCCCTAGATGTTCTGTAGAGTCAGAGTGCGACTCACCCGTTTTTGTGGTTGGATGTGGTCATTGATCAATTTATCGGCCCCCCAAAAAAGGCAATTGTGGACGTCCCCGCAACCCATGAAAACCTGAACACAAATCGCGTCGGGTTCTAAGAAGCATGGTAGACAACAGAAATAGGGATGAATTCGTGCAACCTGTCTGCACCTCCAAGTTGCCTCCAGCGTGTCAGCCCCCCCTCCGTGAGCATGCCTGCCATTTGCCCCCTGGAAAAAATAAAGGTCCAGCAATAGTGATAGATTCCCTTTAAAATCGCAGGGGAAAATAACAAATGCTCATTTGGGTATGGGTCAAAATTAAACCAGGGGACCGCAGGTGTTAGTCCATGTTTCCATTTGCCAGGGCAGCCCATTTTGGGGTTACCCTATTTTTGACAACCACAGCCATTTCAGCCACTGGAAGCAACTCAAGCTCACGTCTCTCTTCGGGGCACCGGAAGCTCCCGTCAAACTGGGCCACCTCCTCGATGGAGGCGCCTCGAGGGTCCGAGTGCCCGGTGTTTAAACGGTACTTCAACAGCCATGTTGTGGAAAATACCACATGGGCGTCTATTTTTAGGGGACCTCCAAAATTGTGGCTTTCCTCTTCGCTTCCACATTACCACGAGAAAAGCATGTATGGAAAACCACACGCGTCACAGGTGGCTTTCCTTCTTTAAAGAACAGCCAAGAAGGGTACCAAATCCAACCACCTGCCCCCCCCACAGACACACATATATATATATATATATATATAGATATGTAATATGTATATATATATAACCTGTGAGACCTTAAAACTGGCCTCAAGGCACGTCTTTCTACGTCAAAAGTGAAAACGTCGAATCCGAGAACCGCCCCGAAAATCATGGGGGTCACTGCATTCACCGGATTTATTTCTCCTTCAAAAGCTCACATGTGCTGGTGGGTTCCACTAAAGATGCCAATTGTTGGAGCTTCCTGCAACTCACTTCCTGCGTGGATTGGCCAAAAAAAGACAACCAAACCTTTTGTTTACCACTAAAATGGTCCAAACCCGAAAAGTGACTAAAGTCCTACAAGCGGAACTCAGGACTCAGGACCTCAGGAAGTGAGAAAACGGACAAATCGCGGGTTAAGTGGAAGCCCGCACTAAACCCTGAAAACCTACAAACCTAAGGAACCAGAAACTGGGTCCTCCAGTAGAAAGGTTAGAATAACGGTACCCTTTTTTCTGTAGTCTATTTTAGTAGGGGAACCCTCCCCCCCAAAAAAGGGTAAAAGGGCACTACTGGGGGACCTAGGAAACTCTTCCGACCTTGCCTGCTCCTCCCAGAGACGCCAGCGAGAAGGCCCTGCAGCCGAAAACACAAAGCCCAAAGGCTTCCCGTCCCCAGGGAGTGACATCCCAAAACAAAGGTATAGGTACGTCCTTTTTGAGGGTACCTTTTTGTTGGCAGCTGTTTTTGGAGGGGACCCGGTTTTTGGCAGTTTTTTTTTCGAGGGTACCTTATTGTTGGGGTTGGCTTACGCACTTGTTTTGGGGGTTCCCTGAAGTAAGGGCTTGGAGCCTCTGCTCAAAGATTCGAAGGATTTGTGGGTTACTGCGTAACCCTGGCTGTGACTGTAACCCACCGCAGCCATGGTTTGAGTCCGGCAAGTGGGTAGCCAGGGTCACTGACCAGATACCCGGCCTAATCTGAGGGGCTACACACATACTCATATTGTTCCACGATGAAGTACTTTGGCTTACAGAATCCCAGGACTCCATCCTTGTGATTTAGACCGTACCCCAGCCCCTTTCAGTGAGACTCTGGCACTTGCCGGGCGCCTTGGAATGTGCACGCCCTCGTTCGAGGACCTCAATTTCTCTCAAGCCATCAAGCCCTACAAGGGACAAAACCCACGGATTGACGAAGCCAGATGAACGGTTGAACAATCCCAGGTGCGGTTTTTGGCTTTTGTCCATCAGCATGACACTTCAGCCAACTGTTTTGGGCACCCTTTACCCCTTTACTTCTCCCTTGATAAACCTCTTGGGGCCCGGTTGCCTTCAAGGGTGTCCAGGGCAAGGTCGTCCCTTCCGGGATTGGCTCATTCCGGTGCCCTGTCAAGGGCGCGGAGAGGGAACAAAACGGGGCTCGAATCGGGTTACCTGCTGTAGCGAAACAGGGATCTGAGCAGAACATGACCACTTCTCGAGACGATATGGTCCTTTGACCTCACAAACACACATATACTCAGTTGTTCAGTGACCCTGCAAAACAGGGAGCCCTTTTTGGGGAAGACCATTTTTAGTGGGGCAGCCACCAAACAAAAAGTGGAAAAAGGGTGCCACTGACTAACTGAGTATTTAATGTGACTGTCATAAGAAAGAAGCTTGCCATCGGAGATTGCTAGATGTAAAAGGCTTGGCCAATCCGATGAATTAGAAACCCACATTAGGGGAAGGATCTTGCGGATTGCATCTGAGGCCAGGGAATCCTTTACCCAACACATTGAAGCCCCAACATGGATTTCGGTTCTCCCTTTGGCTTCCCTTTAAAACCACCCAAACAAACCAAACGAAAACTCAATGAGTTGTCATCGTTCGTCAAGGCAGAACTGCTTGGCTGCTGACTTATGGCCGTGTTTCATGGATATCCCGCAGCAGCCCCCAGCCCTTCCCCCCGATACGAGCCATGGACAACATTACCTACAGGTGGTTCAATTGGGTAGGCCCCCCTGGTTTTCAAAGAATATCGAGAATGTTGTGTAATTTGGGCCCCCGCGTCCCCTTCAAATGAACAACCGACTACCCGGAATGTGTGCGTTGCTCATATGCTTGAGAAATAGGGGAGGGGGAAGCGGAGCCCAATCTAGCGCCGGCGTCCTGTGGGCCACACTCCGAAGCTTTGGCCTGTCGAACAATGCAAACCAATCCACGGTCCGTTTTCACCGCCATGTTGAACAGGGGGAACCAGGAAAAACCGCAACAGCACGTTGGCGCAGGTTAAGGGAGTGGTGGGTGTGGTTTCGAGCTGAAGGTGAGACCTCCCCAAAAAAAGACCCTGAAATGGTTTTAACGTCTCATGTGAGTTGTGGCTCTAGTGGGAATTCGGAATCCTTTTACTGTCAAGGGCAGAATGCGCAGCCCCAAGCCCAAATTGCTTGTAAACGCCCTGCCTTTCGATCCAGATGCCCCTCTCTAGGCTTCAACCCCCATGAATGGTAGGGAAAAATTAGATGATGCAACTCCTGAACGGTAAACAATGGTTTGATTGACCCAGGCTAGATAGTTGATCTTGCCTCAGCTCCACTTTGATTTACCCAACCCGCCGTGATTTTTGGGCTATCCCAGGGCCATGCTGTCGGGCTGATCTCACCAAACCCTCCGAGGCGTGCCGTGAGATCCTGCCTTCTTGCGGGACCGCAGTCCTGGCGAGAGGGTCGGAAAGAAACGGCGCGAAGATACCTCGCTTGGGGATACCTGGACACGAAAGAACCAAAAAAGGGAAACCCGCTCGCAATGGGCTCCGGGGCCTCCAAATCGCGCTTTCTCTGCCACACTCTGGCCAGCCCCTTGGTTTCAATCAGTTGCACACGACTTTCAGCGACAACTCCACACCCATGTCATGCCAACCTGGGAAAAATCGGGGGGGGGGGTCTGTGAAGGAGTTCCCTTTAGCTTAGCTTCATTCCCCAACCCTCGCCCCCACAGTAGCGGGCTCAGGGGAGGGGCACCGGTTAGCGCGTTACTCCCAGGCAATACTGGCATCCACAAAGCGGGGGACATCCACACCCTCCGACTCCCAACGCCCACGTGCGATCGAAGCCCATCGATCTCCTTCCAAGGTCACGGAGCTCTTGAAGCTGCACCCCAGCGCCTTAGCCAGTCTTTCTTCAACCAACCCCTCCCCCCAAACAAAGGAAACACATCACACACCAAACTGGGTGTACGCTTCCAATACCTGTTTCCTGTTCAAAAACCTGTTTTCTGTTCAACTGTTCTATCATACCCCCCCACCCACCCACCCAAAAAAAAGAAAGCGAGCATATGGAAGGGGGAAGCCACATGTCCGAGCTCTATGCACCAGCTCCAAAGGTTCTTCACGCGCTGGGCTTCCCGACTGGCAGGCCGATCGCCTGGAGTGCCGACTTGGCACTTTGGAATCTGTGCTGAAAAGCCGAGAGGGATCCTGGATTTGGCCGGTTCTCTCAACATTGGAATCGGACCAGGTTGGTGATTTCCGTTTGGATTCATTTTTTACAACCGTCCAAAAAATGGGTCCGCTATTTTGACACACCCATTTGGTTTTATTCGCCAACTTGAATGAAGGGTTCACAAATGGACGAGAGAAGGCAATTAGCTGGGGAAAAATCTAGAAATAAGAAGTTGAAAGAGATGGGTGACAAATATAAAACAATGACTGTCACCATCTGCCTCCCTTTCACACACACACACAGCTGCGAGTGCTGAAAGGAATAGATGTTGATAGTGCGCCAAGGGATAACTTCCTATGGAGGAACATGAAACAAAATGTAATCAACTAAAAATAGCTGGCATAGCATGTTACCTGGAAGAATGGTAATGGAACAGCTTCTGAATCCTTCTTTCTTCCAAGCTGTCCACGAGAAGAAAGGCAAAGGGGCGGCAATATGGCTGCGGCTCAAAAAATCGTTCCTAAGATGGCACCTTGGTAAATGGAACCAAAGGCCAAAACCTGAGTAACCCTAGCTCGCCGGCAGTTTTGAGCCACGCCCATATGGATTCCTGGATTAGATGAAGCAAGTTGCCCTGTTGTTTCTTCATCGCACAGCCCCATTCCCTCGCCAGTGAGATGAGTCCATCCCTTCCGCTCCCAAATTTTCAGATGGGAGTGTGGAAGGAGATGGCCTCTCTCACATCCGAACCCCAATTTCAGGCTATGCAAAGCAGAAATGGTTGTCTTTTTTCACGAAACGATTTACTGGTGACTTACTTTTGAGTCAGGGATTGGAATCATCCCGTCCAAAAGCAAAGCAGTGATGCTTCAGGGGGAACGTACAACCAATCCCTTACGCTCCTCGTGGGGACACCTCCGAGTTTTGGGTCGAGGGCGACTGATCCTTGCGGAGTTTCGCCCCTCGTTCCCGAAGAACCGAGTCCTTTGGAACGCTTTACCTGTCCTTCCCAGCCGTGAATCCAGGGATCTCCATCTTCTCGTTTCGGAGAATGGCATCAAAAAATACGAGGGCCGGGGAAATCGCCTGGATTGACGACTTCGAACTGTAGGGCGAAAAGAATGAGCAAATCAAAAAGCTAGCTTTGGTTTCCAAGGTGGTTTCCCTTGAAACAAAGAACAACGAGAGGCACCAGCTCTAAACCAGGAACCACCAGCTTTAGAGGTTGCTTCCGGGGGTCTGCGCGTCCGAAGGCGACACTGTCCGAAGCAACAAGTTGAAAACATCACCCCAAAAGGAAACTCTATCATAAAAACCAACCAAAGGGGAATTGCAATACTGTGGATGGGCTAAACCCTGATGCCTGAATTGCTTTGTCCATCGACTGCAGAATCTTGTCCATCCACAGGACACCTTTCATGTGACGAAATCTTGCGCACTGCGCAATGCGCCTCTGTGTCATCCGCCGGCGGGCCTGCGGAAGTGGCAACAGGGCGGTTGCACCCGAACAGAGGGGCTCAGGGTCTTCAAACCGAAACCTTCCACCACTAGGTCCTCCAGTGGAGAGGTAAGAATAAGGGTACCCTTTTCTCTGTAGTCTATTTTAAATTTTAGTAGGGGAACCCTCCCCCAAAAAGGGGTAAAAAGGCACTACTGGGGGACCTAGACCAAACCGGGCTAGAGCTTCTTTTCGGGGCCAGGCGCGCGAGTGGCCTCTCTCCTTGCCCGACGTACGGCTCAAGGGCACGCGCCTGGAGACACCTCCGGCTGGTATTCCTGGCAAGGCGCGGCGAGCGCTCGCCGGCTGAGTTGACCGTCCAGTCTTGTTGCGCCTTGGCAAAAGCGATAAAAGAAACCAACCACTCCTACTCCAACTGCCCGGTTACTCTAGGGCATGTCCTTCAGGTTTTTCGTATACCTCTCTCTTTTACCAGGAAATGATATCAGACCGGAGAACAAGTTGGTATTTGGACGGGGAAAGCACGTGTTGTAAAGTCTGCCACCTCAACTGGTAAGTCAGCGAGGGGCGGGGCGCTCCCGCCAATTTATGGAGCATGGGTCCTCCGGGTTTTGTTGTCTTCCGGCAAGCAAAAGGGGCAGGTACGTGTTCAACTTTGCGAAGGACATAAACTCGAGATATTGACCTCACCGCACACAGAAACTGGCGCCTCGATGCGAAGGTCCATCTGCTCTCCTGGTCAAGTAGCCACGGTTGCCAAATGTAGGGAAGCTCCTCAGAATCTCCCTTCCTGAGAGGAGTGGCCCAGATCCGATGTGTTTTTCTGTTTTTCTTCTTTTTTTTTATGTTGCCACCAAACTGGTCTTACAAAACAGGAAACCACCTGGTTAGTGTCTGTACTTTGCATCCCCCCCTCCTCGTCAGGAAAGTGGCTATCCCCTGGCCTGACGTACCCTGCCCCTTTGAGCTGTCTGACATCAAGGGCACGCGCCTGGAGACACCTCCGGCCGGTATTCCTGGCAACGCGCTTCGTGCGCGCGCTCGCCGGCTGAGCTGACCGTCCAGTCAGCAAAAAGAAGGGACTCAACTGTTTGGGCCTTGGCACACACGACAAAGAAACCAAACTACCCTCCTACTCGAAATGCCCGGTTGGTTTAGGGCGCGTCTTTAAAATCACGGCTTTTTCATATACCTCCCTCTTTTCTCAGGCGATGATATCCAGCCGAAAAACCAGTTGGAATTTGGAGTAGGGGAGAACACGTGTTTTAGAGCTTGCCAACTCAACTGGTAATTCCGCCGCGCGCATATTTCACTGTCAAGAGACCTGTATGTACAAGCGGACTAAGTACTGCGACCGTACACTGTCGTCTTCTGGCAAACTTGGGGTAAGTACGTATTTAACTTTGAATGCAGCACGCAGGACATAGACTCGAAATGCTGATCTCACCGCACAGAAACTGGCGCCTCGACGCGAAGGTCCATCTGCTCTCCTGGTCAAGTAGCCACGGTTGCCAAATGTAGGGAAGCTCCTCAAAATCTCCCTTCCTGAGTGGATTGCGGATTGGCCAAAAATAGGTCCAATGTTTTGAATTCTTGGGTGCCACCAAACTGGTCCCACGAACTATCAAGTCCAGGAAATCAGGGAGTAAAAAAACCTTCAAACCGTGCACCAAAAGGACGTGGGCCAGTCCACCTGGTTTTTGTCTGCAAAGTGGCCAGCTGTCAAGGGCACGCGCCTGAAGAAACCTCTGGCTGGTATTCCTGGCAAGTCGCGTCGTGCGCAAGTCAGAGCGCTCACCGGCTGAGTTGACCGTCCAGTCAGCAAAACGAAGTGACTTAGCTGTTTGGGCCTTGGCAACAACGACAAAGAAACCAAATACCATCCTACTCTAAATGCTGGGGGTTTAGGGCGCGTCTTTAAAATCACGGCTTTTCCATAGAAAATACACCCCTCTTTTGTCAGGTTTTAGAGCTTGCCTACTCAACCGGCAATTAAGCTGTCCGACAATTTTCGTCAAGAGACCTGTATGTACAAGCCAACTAAGTACTGCGACCGTACACTGTCGTCTTCTGGCAAACTTGGGGTAAGTACGTATTCAACTTTGAATGCAGCGCGCAGGACATAGACTCGAAATGCTGATCTCACCGCACAGAAACTGGCGCCTCGACGCGAAGGTCCATCTGCTCTCCTGGTCAAGTAGCCACGGTTGCCAAATGTAGGGAAGCTCCTCAAAATCTCCCTTCCTGAGTGGATTGCGGATTGGCCAAAAATAGGTCCAATGTTTTGAATTCTTGGGTGCCACCAAACTGGTCCCACGAACTATCAAGTCCAGGAAATCAGGGAGTAAAAAAACCTTCAAACCGTGCACCAAAAGGACGTGGGCCAGTCCACCTGGTTTTTGTCTGCAAAGTGGCCAGCTGTCAAGGGCACGCGCCTGAAGAAACCTCTGGCTGGTATTCCTGGCAAGTCGCGTCGTGCGCAAGTCAGAGCGCTCACCGGCTGAGTTGACCGTCCAGTCAGCAAAACGAAGTGACTTAGCTGTTTGGGCCTTGGCAACAACGACAAAGAAACCAAATACCATCCTACTCTAAATGCTGGGGGTTTAGGGCGCGTCTTTAAAATCACGGTTTTTCCATAGAAAATACACCCCTCTTTTGTCAGGTTTTAGAGCTTGCCTACTCAACCGGTAATTAAGCTGTCCGACAATTTTCGTCAAGAGACCTGTATGTACAAGCCAACTAAGTACTGCGACCGTACACTGTCGTCTTCTGGCGGCTGAGCTGACCGTCCAGTCAGCAAAACGAAGTGACTTAGCTGTTTGGGCCTTGGCAACAACGACAAAGAAACCAAACTACCCTCCTACTCCAAATGCCCGGTTGGTTTAGGGCGCGTCTTTAAAATCACGGCTTTTTACCTCCCTCTTTTCTCAGGCGATGATATCCAGCCGAAAAACCAGTTGGAATTTGGAGTAGGGGAGAACACGTGTTTTAGAGCTTGCCAACTCAACTGGTAATTCCGCCGCGCGCATATTTCACCGTCAAGAGACCTGTATGTACAAGCGGACTAAGTACTGCGACCGTACACTGTCGTCTTCTGGCAAACTTGCGGTAAGTACGTATTTAACTTTGAATGCAGCGCGCAGGACATAGACTCGAAATGCTGATCTCACCACACAGAAACTGCCGCCTCGACGCGAAGGTCCATCTGCTCTCCTGGTCAAGTAGCCACGGTTGCCAAATGTAGGGAGGTTCCTCAAAATCTCCCTTCCTGAGTGGATTGCGGATTGGCCAAAAAGAGGTCCGATGTTTTGAACTTTTGGGTGCCACCAAACTGGTCCCACGAACTATCAAGTCCAGGAAATCAGGGAGTAACAAAAACCTTCAAACCGTGCACCAAAAGGACGTCACCTGGGTTTTGTCTGCAAAGTGGCCAACCCCTTGCCTGACGTACCCTGCCCCTTCCAGCTGTCAAGGGCACGCGCCTGAAGAAACCTCTGGCTGGTATTCCTGGCAAGTCGCGTCGTGCGCAAGTCAGAGCGCTCACCGGCTGAGTTGACCGTCCAGTCAGCAAAACGAAGTGACTTAGCTGTTTGGGCCTTGGCAACAACGACAAAGAAACCAAACGACCCTTCTGCTCCAAATGCCCGGTTGGTTTAGGGCGCGTCTTTAAAATCACGGCTTTTCCATAGAAAATACACCCCTCTTTTGTCAGGTTTTAGAGCTTGCCTACTCAACCGGTAATTAAGCTGTCCGACAATTTTCGTCAAGAGACCTGTATGTACAAGCCAACTAAGTACTGCGACCGTACACTGTCGTCTTCTGGCAAACTTGGGGTAAGTACGTATTCAACTTTGAATTCAGCATGCGCAGGACATAGACTCGAAATGCTGATCTCACCGCACAGAAACTGGCGCCTCGACGCGAAGGTCCATCTGCTCTCCTGGTCAAGTAGCCACGGTTGCCAAATGTAGGGAGGTTCCTCAAAATCTCCCTTCCTGAGACGATTGGCTAAAAAAGGATCTGATGTTTTGTGTTGCCACCAAACTGGTCCCGCAAAACAGGTCCACCCGTTAGTGTCTGCACTTTGCATCCCACCCCTCCTCGTCAGGAAAGTAGCTATCCCCTGGCCTGACGTACCCTGCCCCTTCCAGCTCGGCTCCCTAGTCTTGGTATGTACTTGGCCCCTTCTCGTCTTGAAGACCTGTGATACCATTGCCCCTTGCCTGCCGGGCTCTTGTGCTAGTTCACGGGCACGAGAGTGTGTCAGAGGTGTCGGTTTGATCGACTGGACTCCCTCAGACTCCGCGGAAGTTCTCCGCTCCTTCCGCGGAGGCCTGCGAGTCGCCCAAGGGCGCCAAGGGCTCCTCCAGACGAGCCGGACGAGCCGGACGAGCCGGACGAGAGAATCCCAGTGAAAACCCTGAGATGCCCAGTGGAGTTCCACGGGGAAAAAAAGGCACCGTTTGTTGTGGCTTGAGTGTAAAGGGGAACCCTTGACCAGAATACTACTATATACTACTATATACCACTATGTTACTATATATTTCTGGGAACTGAGAAAAGGAAGCAACCCACTGGGCAACAGAGAAACAGTCGACTGGTCGAGTCCATGGCGGATGGCCACTTGGGACGGATCAAGAGGCAAACAAACAACCAACCAAACAACCATACAACCAACCAACCAACCAACCAAACAAACAACCAACCAACCAAACAACCAACCAACCAACCAAACAAAGAAACAAAGAAACAAAGAAACAAACAAACAAACAAACAAACAAACAAACAAACCAATAAAACAAAACAAAACAAACAAACAAACAAAACCAACCGACCGGCCAACCGTCCAACCGGCCAACAGGCCAACCGGCCAACCGGCCCAGCAACCAACCAGTCAGGCAGCCACCACAAACAATCAAACCAACCAACAAACAGGCGCAACTAAGCAAAGAAAAAGGACTAACGATGTCTACGCTACAACACCACATAAAAGGTGCATATCCGCCCCTATTCATGGCTTGAGGGGTCTATCCCTTTACTTCATCTACCCGACAAAGCTTTGTGGTTCCTTAAAGGCTGTTGAAAAGCTCCCAATGTTCAAACAGGGATCCTTACATTATACACCTGAACATTGCCTTGTAAATGGTGGTGGCCCTTTATTTTGGTGGAAAAGCCATGCTTCAAATGGGCAAAATGTATCTCTTAAGGAGCCCTGTCAAACGGGCCCCGACTTTTGACATCCCAAGGCTCTTTAATGAACTTTGGTCTCCTGCAACTCAATGACCTCCAACTCCAGCTCTGAATGCCTGGCAGCAGGGACCGGGGCCCCGTTTGAAGACTGTTTTCAGTGGATCCACGGATGATCGCCCCGAAAAAATGTGGGCATCTTGAAGTGCTTTCTCTTTTTGCGCAAGCTCCAAGTACCCCTTTGCTTGGAACATGTTTAAAAAGATGTGGTCAATCGCAATTCTTGTATTTGAAGATTGTGGAGGGTCGTTTTCGAAGCATTGGTGCGTGCCAAGAATTGGCCACAACTGGCTTCATGGAACGCCTCTCATTGGAGGCTCCTTGGTGGGAACCTCAGAAAAAAGTACCGCAGCAAGCCGCTGAAAGGCTCGCCGGAGCCCAAGGCCCACGGTGGGAACCCATAACCTGCGGGTCATCAGAATTCAGAAGCCATGGCCGTCTTTCGCCCAAGTCTCAGAGCCTTTTCTGAGCAAAGGAAACTCCACAACTCGGGACACTTGGGCTGGGTTTGTTTGAACATAGACTCTGGAACTTGAAAGCACCTAAGGAAAACCACCTTTCAACCACCCACGCCGGGGTAAAGGTCCCGTGACAACAAACCCGCCTCCTCTTTAGAGGGCGAGACCAGACCGGCGAGGACACCGAACCTCACACGGATTGAAAGGCTCCGTGCCATGGACACTTGGAACCCTCAAACCAGCGCTGCGGGAAATGACACTTCTGTGATACAACAAAAAGGGCCTCCCAAAGACGGACCCCCATATAAAAGGGTAAATCAGGATTAAAACCCTGCGAGGCTCGAACCAATAACCTTGAAGGAAGGTTGCAAATACACCCGCGCAGGCGTTTAATGACTTTTCTTGGCCGCTTCCCGAAGGAAAAACGGACACATGGTGTTCCAGAGGTGAGTTCCATTCTTAGGAGGGGCTTTTCCGCAAGAAGTGAGGAAAAAGATTGCCCTCTTAAAGTGCTCCATGTGATTCGTGGGTAAAATGCAAAACAACAAGTAAACTAGTGAGTTGATCAAGTTGAAGCAACAAAGCTTCTTACGGGACTCAAGTTGGTTGGGGTGTTTTATTGCTCGCCCCCGTTACTAGCCCCGGTTGGCCGCGAAAAAAAGCATCACCAGCCTTTGGAGGGCTGCCTAGGGGCTGGTGTCAATACGGCTGTTTTTTGAGGCTGAGTTCGGCTCGGCAAAGGGCTGATGAGCGGCTGTAGGGCGGGCGGGGTTTGGGGTGGTTTGTACCTGTTTTGTGCTGTGGCTTGGGTTGCTGTCACATGAGTCTTGGGCGAGTTTTGGGGCTTGGGGCAACTCCAAAACCGATCCCAAATCAGCCCAAACTCACTTAACGACACCCGAAAGCAACTAGGTCCAAGTGAGACTGGCGATGCCGGGGATGCCACCAACCAACCAACCAAGCAATCAACCAATCAACCAATCAACCAATTAATCAATCAACCAATTAACCAATCAACCAACCAAGCAATCAAACAATCAAGCAATCAACCAACCAATCATTAGCCAACCAAGCGGGGTTCAGCCCCGGCGGGGCCCCAATCTAAAACAACAAACTAAACCTTAGAAACAATACAAACAACTGTGCGTTCAAATCCCTGCAAACTCGATACCTTTGCTTGGTTGTTTCACGTAGCCAAAGGGAAACCATCAGTCTGGACGGCTTCCGCCCGGCCTGGATCTCGTCGCGGAGATGCCTGGCGGAGAACAAGGCGACGCGACTATAAATCCTTTGCGTGCCAAACCATACGATTCTCATATTATTTTCAACCATGAATCTTTGAAAACAAATTGATTGCTTTTGGTTGTTTGGCAGTTGTCTGAAACAAGGATTACTCCAAAGAATGAGAAACTACCCCGAGACCCCAAAAACTTAATCTACGCTATTGGAACTGGAAATACCGCGGCTGCTGGCACCACTCCGATTGGTACTCACAAAGCGAATTGAATTATATGCTAGGGCTTGACCGTCACCAGCTGCGCTGGTTGGCTCCAGGGGTTTGCTCACCAAACGTCTCCCACTCAGCGCCCACACCTTTCCCACCCCTCACCGCCGCCCACCCTCCCTCCAACCAACCCATTCCCATCCACCCGTTCCCACCCGCCCACCCACCCACCCATTCCCACCCACCCATTCCCACCCACCCATTCCCACCCACCCCCCACCGCCCACCCACCCACCCACCCTGGCGCACGTGCGCGCGTGTGAGCGCGCGCGCGCGTTCGCGTCCATGCGTGCGTGCGTGCGCGCGTGCTAAGCCCCGTAAAAAAACCCTGGAAAATGACCAAAAACACGGTATGTGCGATGTTTTCTGCAGTGGCGCCGGCCCCGGGAATGCAAAGTGTAGTTGGCGAGGACGCAGAGGATGTTGGCGGGCATGCTGACGACCGTCGGGGGCGATTTGCCCGGTATTTACCGTGTGTTTTTGAAGGCATCAGGAGCCAAATGCCCGGCATGTTTTGGCCTGCATGCAGGTGATGCAGGGGATGCTGAGCTCTTCAAGCTCGAAGACACGCCGGGCTCATTCCAGTTATGACACATAGTATGAGACATGCATGCCCTGTATTCTCATTTCTTGTCACTACCTCCCTGTGTCAGGATTGGGAACTTGTGCGCCTGCTGGATTTTAGAGGACTTCGCTATTTGGCCAAAAAGGTGGGTTTCCTGTTACTGCTGATCCCTTCAAACCTACCTGAAAAGCCTCAACCGAAACACACACACACAGACACACAGACACAGACACAGACACAGACACAGACACAGACACAGACACAGACACAGACACAGACACAGACACAGACACAGACACAGACACAGACACAGACACAGACACAGACACAGACACAGACACAGACACAGACACAGACACAGACACAGACACAGACACAGACACAGACACAGACACAGACACAGACACGGACACGGACACAGGACACGACACAGACACGGACACGGACACAGACACAGACACAGACACAGACACAGACACAGACACAGACACAGACACAGACACAGACACAGACACAGACACAGACACAGACACAGACACAGACACAGACACAGACACAGACACAGACACAGACACAGACACAGACACAGACACAGACACAGACACAGACACAGACACAGACACACACACACACACACACACACACACACAGCGCGCGCGCGCAACTTCAATACCTCCCTTTCTTGGTCAAGGGCTGACGTCAAACCCGTCGCCTCGCCTGCATGGTGGCCAGTTCCACCAGATGCCTGCCAACGACTGAGCCGAGAGAAATACAGCTGCTTTGAGTCTATGGCTCGATTTGCTCCGTGCTCTTTTAAACAAGAGCTTCATTTCTTGCCGGGTGGATTGTCCAAAGGGAAGCCGAGCACTTTGGAGCACGACTCGCAGGAGTCGTGATGGATGAAAAGACAAATAAACAGGCAAACAAATAGACAGGAAGATAGGAGAGACAAGTAGATAGGTAGGTAGATAGGCAGGCAGGTACATGAACTGTTGGTTGATGGATATCTACGTAGGTACATTTTTTAGATGCAGAGATTTGGTAGATGGATAGATAGACAGACAGATCGGTAGATTGGACCAGGTTAGACTAGATAGATCGATTAGGTTAGCTTAGACCAGATTGGGTTACATTAGACAGGTCGATCGATAGATAGATGGACGGACAGGGATAGATAGATAGAAAGATGGGTCGGTAGATAGACAGGTAGAAGGGTAGAGGGGCAGAGCGGATAGACAGATAGATAGATAGATAGATAGATAGACAGATAGGTACATAAATGAACCTGCCACAAAAGAACAACTAATCACATCAATAGGTCAAATTAGACTGATAGATTGGAGATATAGCCAGATAAATACATAGATGCATAGGCAAGGTAGATAGGAAGGATAGATAGCACTATAGGTAGCTGGTAGGCATAGAGAGATGGACAGATTGTGGATCCGGAATGATGATCTTGACGAGGAGATCAAACATGTGTGTGAAGTACAAAGATAGATCGAGTAGAGAGACTAGATACAGTAGATCGACTAGTTGAATTAGATAGACTAGAGACTGTTGATAGGTAGGTGGGTAGATGATGATAGAGATAGAGATAGAGTACAGCATATGATAGAGCTAGAGGTAGTGATAGAGATAGAGACAGCCAGACAAATAGGCGGATCAATAAATAGTAAATAGATAGCAGTTCGGGCTTGTCACTTCTAGCAGGCTATGATTGAAAAGCGGGAGGATACTCAGAAAAAGCGCCTCAGCCAGGCCCCTGGAGATTGTCGGCAACATATGATCACCTTTCAGTTGAGCCGCAAGCTCGAAGCTGCGCTCGAGCTCTGTGTCTCTTCTTGCGTCCTTGGTTCACGGGAGCCGCGATCATGTTTCATGTGGAAGTGAACACCCAAGGCGCCTCCCCGGATTCCAAACGACTTGTTCGGAAATGTGTCCCCTTCGGATGGCGATGCCGTGAAACTTGGAAAAGTCCTGCGCAAGCTTGGTTGTGCGTCCTTCCCAAAACGAAATCAAGCAACTCAAGCACAAGTGTCAATTGCTTTCAGGCTGAGTAGACCCGTGAAGGCCGTCCCCAGTGCAAAATTCGGGGGTATGGGTAGGATCTTATATTCAGTGCACAAGTACATAAAAATGTGTATGCATGTATGCACGTACGTATATGTGCATGTTAGGGTTTCGAGATTGCTGTTTGGGCACCCACCAACCTTGCCCAGCTTTGGCGCTTGTTGCCCTCTCTGGGCGGGTTTGGAAGCTGCTGTTCAAGCATTCTTTTGCACGCTGTGCCACTACTGGGCCCTAACTACTCTCTTGGCAGGCCCCGATTTGCTCTGCGCTTCTGCCGCGCCCCTTGCCTGGTCGCTGCAAGCTGCTGCTGGATCTTGGCATCATCCTGGGCCCGATACCCCCAAACTGTTCGGTTTTCCTTTCGTAGTCACATGCTCCCTTGTGTGTCCCAAGCATCCTTGGACTTTCCGCTCGCGCCCTTCACCTTGTAAAACTCATCTTGCCCAGGCTCTTAGACTTGTCTGTGCTTTCGTCTCGCTCGTAAGTTTTTTGCACTGACTTGAAGACAGGCTTGGCCAAGCTCAAGACCAGGCGCGCAGTCTTCCAAAACTGCACTATGATGGGAACACGTAATTTCAGGCACAGGTTGGCGGCCCGTGCGCCCACGCTCGACAGGGTTTCTTGGAATAGCATTTACCAACGAAAGGCTCGAATCTCTTCCCGAGGCCTGGAAGGGTTGGCAGCGCTTGCACAAGTACGGCCGCCCTCTGCGCGTGCCTGCCAGGCCAGCAGCGTGCGCAGCCTCAGCTCGATCCCGTCCCCAGCAGACTGCACGGCTGCCACCAAGCCAAACAACAAAATAAACGCAAAATGCTGACAAGTGTCTCAGCAAAGGGTAGCGTCTTGCTCTCGCCCCCGCATGAGCGGCGGCGAACAAGTTGGCCGAGATCTCACGATGGGACAGCGAGCTGCTCTCCGGCGTCAGGGCGCCTCCAAGCTGCACGAACCTCCTTTGATCAGGGCACGTGCTTGTCCACAACACACTCCTGACACTTGCTGGGCAGCTCAAAAACGAAAGTGAACTTCCGGATCTTCCCCTGAGTGCTCGCCAGATCATCCACTTGAGCTGGGGATACCAAGTCTGGCCCTTGGGGATACGGTTCCCTCAAAGGAACCACTGCACACGAAGCAACCGCCGAACTCGCTTGGCCTTTGACGAGCCACGAAAAGCCGGCATCGCAAGGAAATTGCCTTGGCTCGCTCGAGCACTAGCAGCTCCGCGAAACAAAACCTCACAACCGTAGTGGAGCCGTAAACCACCGCCGCTCGTACACAAGCTGCCACCACCAGGGTCCACGCAAACCTTTTTCCGCCGCATCTAAGCCCGAACAAGATACGGATTGCCAGAGGACCGCAGGTTTTGGGTGTGGATTTATTTCGGGATTTGATTCGTGTTTGTTTTTTGGAAACCGTTTTTTGTGCCGGCATCGTTTTCAACATCCCCCGCATGTTCGACCAACATCCCCAGCATCACCAACAAATCGTGGGTACAAAAATCTAAAAAATAGCTGGCGGGTTGACGGGGTCGAAAAAATATATGATTCAAACAGGAGGGCATTTCAACCCCTGTAAAAATACAATCTCAACTTGGGGGGGGGGCAACCCCCCCATGATGTTCGAAGAGATGATGATTCAAATTGCAAATAGGGGCGCGATAAAATCTCTGTACGACATCTAAAAAGGAGGGGCTTGGGGCGCCCCCTCCATGATGTTCGAAAAATGATGATTGGTCCCTCCATGATGTTCGAAAAAGATTCAATTAGGGGTGCAAAGATTCAAGAGAGGGTGCGATAGAATATAAAAGCAGCGGAAGGATTGGGGGGGTGGCTTCCCTATGATGTTCGAAGAAGTGCATACATACAGTAAATATACAGCACGCTTGCCGGAGAGGAACTGGTGATGCTGAGGATGCGGGAAGCCAAAGCCATAAACCAATGGGTGCAAAAGCCAAAAAGCTCGGAAAGGAACTGGGCATGCAGAGGACGCGAAAAACTTAAGGTCACGCGCAAGCCGATTGCCGAGTCAATTCCCAGTTTGTGTTTTCTTCGTGCAGGCATTTGGCTCAGGACCAAGCATGCACTTTGATATTTCAGGCGTCACAAGTTGTCCAACGAAGGCTAACGAGGCCAAAAAGCCACCAAAAGCCGCATAAACCAACAAGAAGCCGGAAAGAAAAAAAGCAGACAAGCAAAAAGGCCAAGAAGCCAAGAAGCCGAAAAGCCAAGAAGCCATGAGCCAAAAACGAAAAATAAAAGACGAACAAATACACCATCCGCTGGTTTTAGCCCTTCCTGCCGTTCGCTACATGCCGTTTCGGGTTCTCCTTTTTGCCCCGCACCCAAGTTCACACACAAGCAACAGCCGCCTACACAGAACCTTGAAACTGCCTTTTTTCACGTTCAAACACGTGCGAAACAGCGGTGTCTGACTGCTATTTTTGCGTATGTGGCGGCAGCTGCCTCTTGACCCATCTAGAATGGGTGCAAATCCGCTTGCGTCTAGCGGAGGTCCGGTGCCAAACGACGGTTGCGGCCGGGTTGTTGGAACCGGCCTCACTAGCACATATGCAATTTCAAAGATGTACGCATGTATGCATGTATGCATGTGTGCATGTGTGCACCTATACATGAACGCACATATGCACGTATGCACATCTGCACGTATGCACGTATGCGTGTATGCGTGTAAGCATCTGTGCATGTATGTTTGTATGCATATATGCGTGTATGCATGTTTGCATGTATGCATGTGTGCATACATGCATGTGTGCGTACATGCAGGTATGCACGTATGCATGTATGCATGTATGCATGTAGGCATGTATGTACGTACGTACATACCGTATGTACGTATGCACGTATGTATGTATGTATGTATGTACGTACGTACCTATGTACGTACGTACCTATGTATGTATGTACCTATGCATGTATGTATGTGTGTCCGCCGACATTGTTCGGCATGTCGGATACCTCAGAGAGGATAGAGGATAACCCCCCCCCCTCCCCCACGCTGCGAGGAGCCGGTGTCGCAAAACAGGGGTCCCAGGCTCGATTCCCCCTGCCGGCTTTTGCTGGTTTGGGGAGCGAAGAGGAAATGCAAGGAAGTGCAAGGAAAAATCTGGAAGAACTCTGTGTTTTTGGAAGTCCTCTTTGCGAAAACGCTGGAAAAACAGTGTTTTTGCGGGAAATACTGGGAAGCAAAGGGGAAATGCAAGGAAGTGCAAGGAAAAATCTGGAAAAACTCTGTGTTTTTGGACGTCCTCTTTACGAAAACGCTGGAAAAGCAGTGTTTTTGCGGGAAACACTGGGAAGCAAAGGGGAAATGCAAAGAAGTGCAAGGAAATGAGGGGAGGAAATAGGAAGCCCACATGTCAGGAAAGCAATGGGAAATGAAGGGGAAACAAAGGGGAACTGAAAGGGACATGACAGTGACAGAAATGAAAACGAGTGCAGGGGGAGTGACAGGGAAACAAAGCGCAATGAAACCAATCGGCACGACGGGAGATGTAGGGAAATGACTCGCAACGAAAGAACGGCACATACATGGAAAATGACACGAACATACCGAGAAAATGTCAGGGACATGAAGGGGGAGTTGCAAGGAATGGAAGGGACATGACCAGGACATCGCGGGAAACGTGGAAATCAAGGGGAAAGCCAGTAGTGAGATGACAGTTCAGGGTCATGAAGAGGCAGTGCCAGGATATCGAGGCAACTCAGGGGGGGACGTAACGCTGCAACGCAGAGAGAGAGAGAGAGAGAGAGAGGGGGAGAGCGGGAGAGAGAGAGAGAGAGATAGAGACAGAGACGTTAAAATACGTCGATACTTTACTACAAGTGCAGGTGTTGTTTATGTTGTCACAAACACAAATGTAGTTAGCCAGCATGCACTCTTTTCCTGGTAGACTCAAGGCCTGCGGTCGGGTAGTGTACATCATGCATGCACAAGGGACAAGTAGCGCAGCATGATATTTGACACGGCCCCTTGGTTAAAAGACCTTGTAGTGTCCTTTTAACCATAGACCCAAAAGGTGGTATTGACAGTAGTGGCAAAAACGAATGCACATGTTGTTTGCCGATGCTACTGTAGCGAACAGGCATGTAGTCTCTTAAAAAAATGACCGAAGATAGGTATCTACAGCGCTGCTGTCTGTAGTTCAACTAACCTTCAAATGATCAAATGTGAAGTTGCTGCACAAGAACCCTAAGTGGCTCTCAGTCATCTCGTAGTACGGTGACGTAGTACAGCAAGTAGTTGTAGTTCCACCTGTAGATCAGGCGCGCTTAGTCCAGTGGTGGACTCGGTAGTTCTGGACTTGGCCGATGCGGTAGTCCAAGCCTGCATAGTGGTTGGTAGTGAATGTGTTGAGGAAGTCTGGACCGCCACAGAGACGGTTGTAGTCGCACTCCGGTGGTGCAAGTGCTTGGCCGGTTTGTAGTGAGAAAGTTGTGGAGTAGTAGTTTGTGTTGCATGGAAAGATTCGTAGCTGTGAGTAGGGTGATGCCGTAGTAGGTGGCACTTTTGTGTAGAATCGCGTTGATGGACTTGTAGTGGTGGTCTTGAAGTTGTTGTGGTTGGTCGAAGTAGTTGAGTAGTTCGGGTAGGTACAAGGGCATGTGGTAGTTCCAAATGAAGTTGTTGGATAGGTTGAATGTAGTGGTGATTTGGTCCAAATCGTAGTTGATTCGGTGTAGTCGTTGATGTAGTTGGCGTGTAGGAAGGTGGTGCTTGTCGGTGATGGAGATCATGTGGCTCACGTAGTCGCGGGAGAAGTT